AAAAAAAAACACAAAAAAACAACAACAACAACAACAACAAAAAAAAAACCCCAAACAAACAACAAAAACAACAACAACAACAAAACAACTAAAACCCCAAATAAAGAAGAAACATTGGTAGAATAGATAAAGTCAGTTGTAAAAAATGTCTTACGATTCCATCAACACAGTTTAGATATTTTAAGAGGCGGGCTGTTTCAGGATCAACCAGGATTGAACGGGATACAGCGAAGATACTCGATACAAAAAACAAACCAAAGAAACAACAGCAACAATAACAACAGCAACAACAACAACAACAACAAAAACGTCCTAATTGGGAATCGCATCCACGTCTTCTGCGTACACCTGCAAAGAGCCTGGTCGTTCCACTATGGACGCCGGTAAATCAAATTAATGTTTTACAGAGCTGTGAAAAGGGTGAAATGGTATAGGTTTTATGCCCCCATCAACACTGCTAGGTTATTTAAAGAGGCGGGACCTCCGAGTTTAACGTCCATCTCCGAAAAGGACCGAGTCAAAATATGGGCATTTTTTGTAAAGTGCCTTTCCCAAGGACACAACGTACCGTCGGACCGAGCTGAGGCTTAAATCCCCGAACCCGCCAACTCACGATTATGGGTCCTGTAGCCTAAATGCAGTGCTGAGAGAATCTTAACAGAGCAAGGGAAAAAGCAAAAACCCCCAAACAAAAACAAACAAACAAAACAAAACAAACAAGGAAGAGCTTGTTTACATTAGACACGGATGTTATTTGTTTACGGCAAGTTGACGATAATTGATGGGCAGGGCGTCTGTTGTGTAGTGCAGCGATTATGCACACTGCTGATCGGATTCACCACATTTAGTCAGGACGGCCCAAGAAGGTTATAGATATTCTCTTCTCCTAATTCGGCCAGCCAAATTTATTTTCTATCATGGATGGGGCACGCGCTCATATAACGTAATATAGTTGCAAGCGCCGTAAAACTCTTGCAAAACTAAAAAGATGGAGCAAAAGCTGCCATTTAATGCACACTACGGCCAAGTTCAACAAAATTCGACAGCGACCTTCACAATCAAACGCGTCAAATTTTTAAAGGTCGCGAGTCGACTCGGTCGTTTTGAGCCAAAAAATGGTAGCTTTTGCCCCCGCCATGAAGGAAAATCAGTCCGAGGAGACGTCGTGCTGTTGAAGCTAGAAAGATGAGCAGAGTAAGCCTGATTCCTCATAATTTGGGCTTGTCTGTTGACATCCACCCATTGGCGCTTATATGACCTTATGCAGTTGCGAGCGCCGTAAAACCGTATAAAACAAACAAAAAGTCCGGGAAATCCGGTCGGCAGCGTGCACTGGGTACTTGGCTCTTCACCATCACACACATACGCCGTGAGTTTTAGTTTAGTTTTAGTACGGTTTTAGTGCGCTCGCAAGGGGTGGATGTCAACAGAGAAGTCCTTACAGGGAATCAGACTTACTCTGCTCACCTCTCTAGCTTCAACAACACAAAGTCTGCTTCGACTATCAAGGCACCCCAGAAATAGCAGGTCACAAGAGTGTGACAAACATACAAAAGAAGTAGAAGAAAAATGACGATAGTAAGGATTAGGAAAGAAAAAGCCGCAGTTCCCTGTTGCAGTTCAGGCACAGTTATGAGCATGACATTGATGAATCAGCAGATTTACAACTTCAATTCTACTGTGCATAAGAACTCGAGATGTTAATGTCCCCACCCCCTTTGGGAATTGCCTAAAGTCTAAAGACTCTTCAGTCTACCGCCCCGGGGGTGCCATGAGTTTGATTCCCCAGTGAGGTGGTTCTTATCGAGTATATATTATGTAGTTTTGTTTTGTCTGCCTGGATGGTGTACAACAATGTATCTTTCTCAGCACGGGTTGACCCTGACAGGCAGGGCCGAAGTAACCCGCCTCTTTTATTACCTAAATTGTGTCGAAGAGGGCGTAAAACACTTGACATTTACAAGCAATTTCTTATAAATAGGGCATCATAGGTGGTAATCAATTAATTATTTTCGTCATCTCTGAATTAGCCTGAATTAGAACTCTTAGCGCCTTTGATTGGGCTGCTCGCAGTGGTTCTAAAATTTGGTTAAAAAATTATTAAGACTTTTGAATTAAGTCTATCCAGATACGTCACAAAAAACAAACAAACAAACATATAAACAACAACAACAACAACAACAACAACAACAACAACAACAACAACAACAACAACGACAACAGCAACCACAACAACCACACCAACAACAACAAACCAATTAGGACCACACCCTCAACCCCCTTCTTCGTGCCCAAACATGTGAGATAGAGATAGATAGCACTGAACAAAAATTGTCGCTTTTAAGCACAAGGGGGCTATCCCGAAAAGTGCTGTTTTGAGAAAATCGAAGGTAAAGTTTTTGCCCTTTGTTCAATTACTTTAAAAGACAAGGAGAATTTTCCCTATAACCAAAGAAATATACACACCAAAGAAACCAAACTTCTCCTATAGGTAGAGCACTACCCACTTTTGGTGTTGGTCAAGATTTCTGGAAGGAATCCACCGAAATCTGGGTTAGTCCGCTTGTCCATATAAGCGACCAAATATACTCACTTTTTATTTAGATCTATGCCGTCCGCTTCTCTTTGCATCACGCCAAGGTTTGTGCCCCCTACTCCGCTTGACATAACTGTGGAATTGCACACAAAGGGGAGATCGTGAAATACAATGGTGTAAGTTTTGTTCTAATAAGAATTTTTACGGCATCTGCAAGACAATTAGGACATACTATACGTGCCGAAGATTAGAGGTGTCACAAGAAGAAAGTTATAAACGCAAGAGAAAGAGGTGAGATCGGGATGATAGATAGAAGGTGTTCGATTGGAAAGAAGGATCAAACCTCACCGGAACGCTTGCCTACCACTCGCGTAGTCAGTTTAAATTTGTGTCATTAGCTGTTTTTTAAAACTTGTATCTATGGAAGTGTTTATGGGAAATCCCCCCCCCCTCCGGTGCTACTGACTGAAGTGTCTTTAGGCCAATTAATTAATTGTAAGATGTAATTAATTGTCGGACGTGTACCATTAGTGTGTTGCATTTTGGATCGTTATTGTGCTTTTGAAGGGTTACTTTGACTCCGGCAGCTTGTCAAAGCAGAATATATTCGGAGACGTCTCCGACGAGCACCCAGGAACTATTCAGAGACGCACTCCCGCACACTGATGCAATGCTTTGGGGGTCAAACTGCGTATCGTTTGCTGCAGATCACACATATAGCCACTAAAACTGTCGCAAATCAATTATTTTCAAGAAAATTTCAAACCTAACTGCAAAATATCAAATTCTGGGTTAAAATAGAGGGCTTATGACCTCTCAGGTTTTTTTTTTACTTGGTCTAGAGGCACAAAGCATTTTGAGTGGTCTATCTCCGTCGAAGACGTCTCCGAATAGATACTGCGGCCAGTCAAACTCTCTTTTTAAAAAATGACCTATTCTGTAATGGGTGGGTGTTGACAACTACGACAGAAAAATTTAAACAAAACGAACTGTCTCAGTGGCACACACGCACATAGATAAACAGAGACGATAAATCGAAGGTTAGACCGACCGATAGGCAGACATGCACGCAGACACACATTTAAACATGCGTGCAGATGCGCGCGTGCGCACACACACACAAACACAGGCATGTGCGCGCGCTTGAGCGCTTTCTCTCACAAACATACTTTTTATCTTAAAAAAAAAAAGAAGATATACGCGATCTATATAAACCACAATATGAAAATAGACAAATAGATAAATATAGAGGGTAAAGAAAATATGCAAATCCTCAAAATATTTCCTGAGAGAAACCGGATTTCTTTCTATCTTTCTCACCTTCACTCATATTCACTCACTCATCCACACACACATACACACACACACACACACACACACACACACACACCCACACACACACACACACACACACAC